AAATAGACTATGAAATCTCCACAAATATTCTTAAATGCCTATAATTTATAACAGAAGCCATTGGTTTATACCAATGGCGTCCAATACTTAATATTTCTTCTTTTCACTCCCGCGTCGCCATGTGTGACGTCACGAGTTGCGACGCGATTTTCATCTCCGTGTCTCGTATACACGGGTTTGGCGTTGCTTTGAAATTTTAGCAAAATTCTTATTGAAAGTACATCTATACTTTTTCATGAAAATAATGATGATAAACTAAAAAATTTTGAAGTTATCTATATTAAATAAATTGACACCGAACCTTAATAAAATGAATTATGAATACTGCACAAATGTTTAAAAATGTTTCCAATATTTTTAAGTATTAAAAAAATCATGAGGATATATTATAATTTAGTTACCTCCCCTGACGTTTACATCATGAAATTGAAATGGTGCAGTACATAAACTTACCATTTTTCACTTCGCAGGTAAAAAAATTTAACTTTCAGATGAGCACAACAATTTTGTCTTAAAAATTTATTAACACAACAATTTTTGTCTAAGAAAAACCAACACCTTGATGATGACAATGCGCTCATGTTGAAAGTACTCTTAATAAAGGATTATGTATCAACATCGTAATTTTCTCTCTTTCTGTAATAAGGATACTAAAAATAATATGAGAGGATCCTACTGAAAAATAAGTAGACAAAACTTGCCTACATTATTCAATGAGACATGTCTTAAGATATATATATATATATATATATATATATATATATATATATATATATATATATATACATATATATATATATATATATATATATATATATATATATATATATATATATATATTAAAGACATATTTTTATGTTTAACGTTGTTATTTCATAGATATGTCATAAAAATATGTCTTTAATAAATAAATTGTCGGACCTTGTCCATTTCTTAATATATGACGTCATTTGTTTACATTCGATACGCCAGAGCAGTTATGAATGTACGAGATTCATGGAAAATTGAAGTTTATAAGCAGTAAATTCGACCTTGTCTACCGATTGGTTCTTTGTAGCTTAAGCGGTAAGGCACGTCAGCGTATATGACGGTTCCGTATAGGATGCAGGTTCGAATCCTGTCAAAGAACGAAAATTTTCTATGAAAATTTCTCGGACATTCAGGCCGGTAAATGTTATTTAATACTGTTTATCATAAACAGAGCATTTGCTTAAATACTTGTATCTATGAAATAACAACGTTAAACATAAAAATATGTCTTTAATAAATAAATTGTCGGACCTTGTCCATTTCTTAATATATATATATATATAGGGTAAAATATATATATATATAGGGGGGAAAATAAGATGAGGACAATAGTCCAAATAATGTAAATAGTGTATATAATGCCTCATCTCAGAAATATAGACAAATTACATTTCGTCAGCAGCTTTACTGAAAACCAAAAGGGTGAAAACTAGAAAGAACGACAGAAATTGAAGCTAGTTTAGTCGGGTAACAAATAATTACATAATAAAGGAAGGTAAATAGGAAATAGGACAAAGGGCCCAAAAGTTGAGAGAATTAGAGTCTAAATTGGAAATGGACGTAGTAGGTACGTTGCTGACAAGAATTATGTTTCAAAGTTTACAATAATTTACTCTATTTTTAAGATTCTCACCCCAAGCAAGACGGGAGTGCCACTAGCACGCAAGTGGCCGCAGAGATTGGAAGCAATTGTCAAGAGGCGAAATAGAGGAAAGGATGAAGAGAAGGGCGATGATTTAGATCAAGGCATCTAGAGATGTCGATTGACATTATATTTGAATAGTTGGAGCTTATAGCTATCAGGGAAACACGTAATAGGAAGGGAGTATAAATAATAATAATAATAATAATAATTAAACCGCTTGATGGCTAATACTCTGCCCGTACCAATAAAACTGACGTAGACAAAACCCATACCCATCAGTGGCTACGTAGTGCAGGGTTGAAAGCTGAAACTGAAGGTTTTATCCTTGCTGCACAGGACCAATGCTTGCTAACTAGGAATTGTCAAACACATATACTAAAATATTGTGTTAGCCCAAAATGCAGATTCTGTGATAAATATCCAGAAACAATTGATCATCTTGTATCAGGTTGCACGATATTGGCATCCACTGAATATAAAACCCGGCATGACAGAGTGGGCCAATATCTGCAATGGAAAATCTGCAACTTCTACGGGAAGGAAACTGAAAGAAACTGGTATGAACACCACACAGACCCGGTTACGGAGATAGGACCTGTTACAATTCTATGGGACTACACGATACACACTGACAGAACAATCAAAGCCGACCGCCTAGATATTGTTATTAAAGACCACAAACAAAAACGGTGCCTCCTTGTTGATATGACAGTCCCTGCTGACTGCAACTTATCTTTGAAGATATTCAAAAAGCTGTCAAAATACAAGGACTTTGAAATAGAAATCTCGAAAATGTGGCATATGGGAACATCAACAATCCCTGTTGTAACTGGAACTCTAGGATTGGTTGGAAAAGATTGCAGTAGACTAATTGAATGGATTCCTGGAAGTCCATGCCTCAAAGAGATACAAAAAATCTTTCTGACAAGTACAGCCCACACTTTACGAAGGGCTTTATCTATGTATTTTTTTTTCTGTCAGTGGAAAGTGTCATGATGTCATTTTTAACATTAGGTCCCTGGCCGGGACCCGGAAAGAAATGTGTAAACGCCAGAAATCAAAGAAAATAATAATAATAATAATAATAATAATAATAATAATAATAATAATAATAATAATAGGGTAGTGACACCATTACAGAGTGAATCAATATCTTTTTTTAAAGCATTTCACCCTAAGCAAGACGAGAGTGCCACTAGCACGCAAGGGGTTACAGAGGATTGGGAGCAAGAGTAAAGAGGCGTGATAGAGGAAAAGGCGAAGAGAAGGACGGGGAAAAGATCAAAGCATCTGGGGGTGTCGATTGGCAATGCATTTGAATAGTTGGAGATTATAGCTATCAGGGAAGCAAGTAACAGGAAGGGAGTTCCACAGACGGGAAGCGCGAGACATAAAGCTATTGGAGTAGAAGAGAGGGCTATATTTAACCGTTTTGACAATGAAAAGGTGGGAACGAGATGCCAACTTAGTAGCTCGTTTAAAATCATGAAATTTGGGAATCAGCGAAAGTAGCTCGTCGGAGCAGTTACAGTGAAAGTATTTGTAGAAAAGACAGAGGGAGGCGACGGCACGTCTGTGAGATGAAAGACATTTGATTTGGTTTGGTTTGATTCTTATGGATAATTTAACACCGACATTTAATTTTCTTGGAAACGTTGGGATATTTTTTTTCTGTTAAAATCTATTGTTAGAATTTTTATTATTATTATTATTATTAAAATCTATTGCGGGATTTATTTTTTGCTATTAAAATCTACAATTGGGATTTTTTATTGTTATTGCGGAAACATTTTTCACCATGAAAGTGATATTTTATATTTTCATAGTGTTTTAACACCAGTTTGGGAGTTAAATGTTCGCCCATAGCTCGAACACTAACTGGTCAGAATGGACATATTTAACAGTTCCCACTGTTAAATATGACGCTGTGTGAGAAGAATCAACACATGATAAAAAGGATTCTACGTCCGTAGGTACAACTAACAAAATTAAATGTATGCAAATAGGTACATTAATCAGATTATCAAATAATAATATATTAAGTGACGCTTACAGAAAATGCTTATAAAGTTACATACCGGCGATGCTATCGTTTTGGAGGTAACATTAGAAATTAGAGAGGGAAATGTAGGAAACACGTACCTTGAGCTTGTGGTATAGTGTGCTGGTTCCGCTAATTACTAGGAGTTAAATAAGAAGTTGTCAAAACGGCAACTAATCTAAAATGATACCTAATGTAAAAGGAGACGAAAAAAAGGATATAAAACTATAGGCGTACTTATGTCAGTATGACTGATGCTAACCCCCAGAAAAGTGATTCATTGCAAATTCGGGAGTTAACGTTTTTCTGCTGACATGAATTGGAAAGATTTTGTTGAACCAATTAAGTCTGCAGCTCGGAAAGTTGGTTTACCATGTTGAGGTAGACAATTTTTCTTCTCCAGAATCTTACATATTTTTAAGACTAACATTCGTCTTTTCTTTGAATGTTGCTGCCACATCTGGTCTATGGCTTCTGTTATATATCTACAGATTCTTGATAAAACCCAAAGAAGAATCTGCAATGTTGTTGGTCCTGGCTTGATATCTCAGCTTAAATCACTTTCCCACCGCCTAGGTTTCAGGCAGATTTTCGATAAATGCTTTCAAGTTCTGATTAACTTTCCGCTATGGTACCGAGGTTCAGTGAATTTAAGCGCAGTACTAAATTGGCGGTTAGGTCGCATCATTTTAAATTTGAAATGGTTTTCTCGCATTTCTGGCTTGTGGAACCCTCTTCAGGTTTCTTGCTTCCCAGTAAAGTTTGCTCTTCATAAATTTAAAAGCAATATCGATCTCTATCTTCTTAATTTTTGTTCTTTTGTTATTTTTGTTCCTTGATAATGTTTTTTCTTTCTTTTTCTTTTTTTTTTTTTTAAAAATACTTTCACATCCAGTAACCACCTGCGTCTCATTGGCTTTTTTGCCTTGCTTGGGGTGAAATGATTTTAAAAAAATAGCAAGAATTGTCCAAGCCTCACAAGCTATTAGACACTGCAACGAACTTATAACGCACTGGCGAGGAACTATTGACGAAGTTCGAAGGTGCTTGATTTGGATAATCGGTCAACAAAGCATCTTAAGCAATTTTCGTTTTTATTTATCAACGATGATTCTTCAGGCTGCTCTTCGATAATTCTTGCGTCAAAATCTTGAAACTTGTTCATTAAAGAAATTATGTAGCGATCGATAAGAGTAATAATAATAAGTTCAGTTGAAATTAGCCGGGGGTGTAGAGCAGATCAAACGTGCTCCAAAATTTTCTGTGTTATTCTGGGTGCGGCTTTTTGTTGTCATGGGTAACAATATTTTATCCTTCATCGCACTGTGTACGCTGCCGAGCAAAACTAAGGCCTGTTAGAGTTCTCCAAATGTATTCTTTAACTGCCACGTAAGATTATGAATTAAGATGATACATTTAATAGTTACATTATTTACACTATTTATATTCGGACTATTGTCCTCATCTTTGTTGTTGCTATCACAAGGTTTCGGCCGTTGTGCCCTCCGGCCTTCATCAGGTGTATATCGATCTGGATAATCTTTTCTTTTCTTTTTTTTAAGCATTACGCCCCGAGCAAGGCGTGAAGCCACTAGGATACAGGGGGATGAAGAAGATTTGGAGCGAGAGCGGATAGAAGTGATAGAAGAAAGGATGAGGAGAGGGATAGTGGATAGATCAAGGTAACTAGAGATGTCGATTGACATTACATTTGAATAGTTGGAGATTATAGCTCTCAGGGAAACAGTAATTGGTAAGGATGTTCAACACGCGAGAGGTTTGAGGTATGAAGCTATTGGAGTAGAAGAGACGGCTACATTTAAAAGTTTTTACAGTGTAAGGGTGGGAGCGGGGTGCCAGCCTCATATGGCCCTTGAATTCATGGAGTCTGGGAACCAGTCAAAGCAGCTCATCGGAGCAATTACCATGGAAGTATTTGTAGAAAAGACAGAGAGAGGCGACGGCGCGTCTGCTGTTGACACCGTCTAGTTCTTTTATCTTTTTAGTACTTCTCAGGTTTTTTTTTAATCAGTTTACCGCAAGCAAGGCTATAACGCCACCATGTCAAAGACGATAGTGAAAGAGAATGAGAAGAATCCGGAAGGAACCGGAAACCTAATACTAAACAGGAAACTAGGGATAAACCACTACTCCTGTTCAAAAAAATGTTTGCCAGTTTCTACTGACTCTGGATTGAAATCAAAACAACAATGTAATCAAATTCATGAAACAAACGCTTTAATCAACTCGGCCATGGACCAGTACTTCTTTGGGGCAGCCATCTTTAATTGGCGTTTGTTTTACATACGAAATCAAATAAAATACGAGAACAAGAAAGGAGTTTATCGCCTTTGATAATATCCTACTTACGTCATGTGATAATTAACAAGGCGAGTATTTTTGCTTTCGTTAATTTTTTTTTTTTTGTATCTTAGGAAGTCAAAGTCTACTAAAAGATCGAGGAAATTATTAATAGGCAATTCACAATGTGGAATATGATTTCACACAAAGTTTTCTTTAATGTTGTTTCTTGTTTGTTTTTATGTCGGCTAAGATTTTTAGTTAATAGGAAAATGTCATCAGTATGTAGAGAAAGAAAGAAGTAGTCTCTTATACTTTTAGCGTCAGGTACAGAAGGTAAAGTAAGAAAGAAAGAAAGAAAGAAAGAAAGAAAGAAAGAAAGAAAGAAAGAAAGAAAGAAAGAAAGTCTCTTATTCTTTTTGCGAACCGGTAAGAAAGAAAGAAAGAAAGAAAGAAAGAAAGAAAGAAAGAAAGAAAGAAAGAAAAAATCTCTTATTCTTTCTGCGAAAGTACAGACGTTGAAGAAAGAAAGAAAGAAAGAAAGAAAGAAAGAAAGAAAGAAAGAAAGAAAAAAAGAGTCTCTTATTCTTTTTGCGAACCAGTAAAGAAAGAAAGAAAGAAAGAAAGAAAGAATCTCTTATTCTTTCTGCGAAAGTTCAGACGTTGAAGAAAGAAAGAAAGAAAGAAAGAAAGAAAGAAAGAAAGAAAGAAAGAAAGAAAAAGTTTTTTTTCTTTTTGCGAAAAGGTACAAATGTTGAAGAAAGAAAGAAAGAAAGAAAGAATAAGTTTGTTTTCTTTTTCTTTGCTTTTATTTTTTTTTGAGCCGAGTAAAGAAGGTGAAGAAAGAAAGAAAGAAAGAAAGAAAGAATCTGTTTTCTTTTTCTTTGCTTTTTTTTGAGTCGGGTAAAAAAAGAAAGAAAAAAGAAAAAGTTTTTTATTCTTTTTGCGAAAAGGTACAAACGTTGAAGAAAGAAAGAAAGAAAGAAAGAAAGAAAGAAAGAAAGAAAGAAAGAAAGAAAGAAAGAGTTTGTTTTCTTTTTCATTGCTTTTATTTTTATTTATTTTGAGCGGAGTAAAGAAGGTGAAGAAAGAAAGAAAGAAAGAAAGAAAGAAAGAAGAAAAAGTTTTTTATTCTTTTTGCGAAAAGATACAAACGTTGAAGAAAGAAAGAAAGAAAGAAAGAAAGAAAGAAAGAAAGAAAGAAAGAAAGAAAGAAAGAGTTTGTTTTCTTTTTCTTTGCTTTTATTTTTATTTTATTTTTTTGAGCCGAGTAAAGAAGGTGAAGAAAGAAAGAAAGAAAGAAAGAAAGAAAAAAAGAAAGAAAGAAAGAAAGAATCTGTTTTCTTTTTCTTTGCTTTTTTTTGAGTCAAGAAAGAAAGAAAGAAAGAAAGAAAGAGAGATAGAGAGATAGAGAGATAGAGCCAAAGAAAGAAAGATTTCCTTATTATTGCTTTCGCATCAGGAAAAAAACCTTCAAAAACAT